CTCTAAAGCTGAAAGAGTGTGCCTTGCCCAAGGGCATCCAGTGGGTTTTCATGGCAGAGAGAGTGGATTTGGACTGTCGCCTGCATCCCAGTTCAACATTCAATCCACTACACCCTACTGTCTCCTGTATGGTCAGATGATAATAGATTTGTGAACCAGAACACGCTGGACATTCCTCACTGTTAGAAGGTAGAATTGCATAGCCATGTGGTCCACCATATTCATCTTCCCGAGACAAGTTGCTGTCCTCAGGTGAAGTGGTATTATTTGCTCAAACATCTGTGCATAGACCCTATTAATGTTGGTAAATTAAATGCATACCCTCTCCTTGCTTAGAGGTAGCTGTTAGCACTAACTCTGTTAGCATGGTTCAGCAGTGAGTCTGTGAAATTGTACTGGTGACTATACATTCCTGAAGTGCTCAATGGGCAGGTGGCATGGCAGCTGATGGTTTACATGCCAATGAGGTGTTGGATCTGCTCAAGTTTTTAGAATGCATGTCTAACTATCCAAGGTGCTGGACTGAGGTTTGATCAGATTTCAGCACCTTGGATAACTCCTTTAAAATTCAGGCTAATACCCACTATGCATAGAAATCACTTTCCATCACTGGCCGCAGCTGACAGCAAGCCTCAGCAATCTGAGTGTTATTTTTCAAAAGGCAACCTTCAAAATTGGAGAACAGTGCAAGACATTACAGGCAGCCCCTGAGTTACAAACATCTGACTTGCAACCAACTCATAGTTATGAACTGGGGTGAGATAACGGGAAGTGAGAGTAATCTACCCCCTGGAAAGAAAATTCACTCCTGAAAAAGTTATCATGGGAAAAAGGTGTCTCCGCTGAAACTTTATCACCAGTTCTTGTTTCCGCAAGCCATTTTTAAAAAAAATAAAATTATCACAGGGACAGAGGTGAAATCTTCTGAACAGGGCACAGACAGCAAAACAAACACCACAGAGGTGTTAAGTCTTCCTTATGCTATCCAATGCAAAATAACAGTATATATTTTTGGCTGGAGTTACACTTAAAAATGTACCTGTTCCGACTTACAAACAACTTCAATATAAGAAGTAAAAGAAGTAATGTTAAAGAAGCAATGCCCCGTAAAATATGTACTTTGTTAAATGTGATTTGCCTGTATTTGCTGAATTGGCAAAACCACCTCTGAATATTCCTTTCCTAAGGATGCCTTATGAAGTTTGCAGTTTTGCCATTAGTCAACAGGTGACTGTATACACACACTTATTTTTTCTTAATTTGGTAGTTTTATTCCACAATTCAGATATTTCATCATTTTGAGATTTATTATTTTTTATTTTGGAAAGAAAAGACAGGGCAATGTAGAACAAAAGTAAAGGAAGGGTGTGGAGGTTGGGTGGACAAGCAGGACTGGCAAAGAAAAATAACCAAGGGAGGAGAAAATGAGTCACATTTTTGAGTCATCACCAACATTCCTAGATGTTTCCAATCTTCTTTTGGTTTTCCTCATTGTGTGATACAGAAACAATAACTTTCTTGAATAGTTAACAGCTCTTGTATTTCTGGAGTAAATATCACAGCCCAGATTCTGATCATTCATTTGAAATGTCTTTGGATTTGCACCAGTCACATCCTTTCTTCCACCTATCATTTTGGTCATTATTCACCCAAATACAGCCCTGTATCCTCTCAAAATGCACTTGTTCATCTTGCCAGATTCTTCCAGAACATATGACTGAAGTTGGAATTTTATGATAGTAAATAGATATCTGTTTATAGCCCCATACACCTGTTTCACAGAGAAAGAGTGTACTCACCGTAAGAGGGACTCCTTGATGAACTCACTCATCCCAAGTGACATGGCTGGGCAAGTATTTCACTCTTAATGTCCACATATGGGGGTTTGTTTCCAAAAGGAACAAAATCCACCTGAACCATTTTTAAAGGAATTAATAATGTATATGCTGATGATATGCATTCATTTGCTGTTAAATGAAGTTTTCCAAGCCCTGTACTCACCAAAATGCTTTGATACATTTTGATAGTAAACAATGCGTGCTACATAAAACTCATTTTCAATTTATTTTTGGATTTGGTACCTTTTGTAGGAATTGTAGGAAAGTAGCAGAGAGATGCATGCAGATCTTCAAAGTTGTTAGACAGAAATTTCTAATACAGCCATTGGTAATCAATGATGTGAGTTTTAGTCCAGCAGAATTTAGAAGCCTGTATAATTCCCACCCCTTCTGTAAAGGAAATAGGGATGCTCCATAGGGGTTATTTACAGCAAAGATGGGCAAGTTTGGTGTGCCAAGGGAACAATGATTTGCCCATGGGAACTTCCAATTCACAAAGATCACTAAAAATGCCCCCAGAAAGATGTAAAAAGAGGGCATTGCATGGTGACTTTTGCAGGCCCTGACCATATGTTCAGTATAACACAATCACTCCTTCAGATGTTCTAGAGAAGCAGAGAAAGAGGATGTGCTTCTTGTAGGGACAGACTGTTCTTATGTTGAACAACAGCAAACAACAAGCATGTCATCTTTCTCAATAAGAACTGGAAGGCGGAAGATTAGGGAGAGGAAGTACTAGTCACTCATGCTTCCTCTCCTGTCTTTTTTGGGTGGGGGGAGAAATCTAAAGCTGCTGTCAGTGTGGGTCAATTCAGTGTAGGAAAAAGGGCATTTCAAGGGTCCCATATTTCTTTCTGTTAACATCTTCATTTTGTGCACAATGAATTTTGTGCTGGCCTCATTGAAGTGATCCACTAAGTCCCAGAATAGGGATGTATAAAAGTTTTCTTTGGAAAGAAAAGAAAAGCATAGAAGCATGAAGTAGAAGACATTTGCTTTTAGGGTGGGCACTTATTATTGCCAAAGAAAGAAGGAAGGAAAGAAAATGTGTAATCAACAGGCAGAAACATGAACTACAGAACTGAACAAAATGTTCAAATGGGGAAATTACTGATCTAACCTAAAGAGATGGAAATACCCTAAAGGCATCAGATGCTTTCTGATCTTGTAAGTTGAGCAGAGTTGCTCCTGATAATAACTTGAATGGGAGACGACCAAGGTTCTGAAGGCTACATTTCAGAGGAAGGAACTGGCAAAACTACATCAGAGTTTGCCTAAGAAAATACTATGAAATTCAAGGATTTGACAAAAGATGATTTGAAGGTACACACACACACACATGACATCCTTTATCATACTAGGCAAGACCATGACCAGGTAATGCACATTTTTGATCATTCAGTCTGCTGTCCAGGTGATATTGATGGTTGTTTTGGCTTTTTGTGGATCATCTTTTTACCGGAAATTAAAGTGTCCATCACAAAAAGAACTTCAAAGAAATCTAAATACACCGAAAAAGGAGATAGAATTATTTATTTATTTATTTATTTATTTACTTCATTTGTTGACCGCCGCTCTCAGCCCTGGGGCGACTCGCGGCGGTGTACAGCATGTAAAAACAGTCTACAAAACATACAATATAACAACAATCAAATTACACATTAGTCTAAATCACACTAATAAATCCGCGCCATCTTTTGTCTTCTGCAAATTAGGACCCATGGCCAAACAACTAACATTTCCAGGTCTCTTTACATCACTGCCATGATCAAAACTTCTCCTGGTGGTGTTAAACAATAGAAAGATATTTCAATTCTTGATTAGAAATGGTCAGAGTGGCAGAGGATCTCCTCCTCCATTTTCAACAAGGAGAAATGTCACTGTATTTCTTCAGTCTCCTGGGTTTTCTGTGCAGCTGGATTAGCATCTCTTCTTTGTAATGTCTTTGATAGTGTGAGTGCAACCCATTCAAAAAGAGTGAAATGTGTGAACCATTAATATTGGTTCCGTCTTCAACAGAAGGCTGGAAACATCTCTAATGCAGTCAATGGAGAGGAAGAGTAGAGAGACTGGATTGTTGAGAAACACTTCTTTTATCAAGCCTTGATAAAAAGAAATTGAGCCATAGATTGTTCCAACAAGTGAATTGAAAGACAGTGTACCAATAATTTTCTGAGGTACCTGAAGATGAAATTGCAAGTCTTTGCCATCTGTCTCACTCTATTATCTTTGGCATTTGCCTCTGAATGCAATACCATAGTTATCTAACTAACTCAGTGGTTCCCAACAGCAGTCCCCAAGAACTAAAATATGGTCCATGGCCTCACCGTTACTACACCATTGCAATGAGAGCGACTGGTCTTGTGAAACCATCTTATTGTGCGAAGGCAATAGGGATGTCAGGAGGGAAGAGGCTGATTACCCACAAAGGGCGCAACAACAAGCCTCCTCACTGCTGCTTCTCCTCCCCTGCCCCCCCTCCCCCATGTGGAGCCATTCCATATGGCACCTGGCAGAGAAGGCACCTTGATGTCTTTGTTTATAGGCCTGTTCCTGGGGTTATTTCAGGTGCTGATTCAGAAAATTGCATTGGCTAGATCACACCAGCTATAGATTATTAAATATTGTTTTCTATGGGGGAGCAGACTACTGGATGGCATATATTGTGTATCAGAAAGTAGAACTGATGTGGTCTATCCAATGCAATTTTCCAAATCAGCACCCCAAATAACCAAACCAAATCTGAAGTTGACCAAAAACCGATTCGTAACCCTTTTGGTACTAAAGTTGGAGAGTGGTCCCTGGTCAAAGTGGTCCCTGGTCAAAAAAAGGTTGGGAACCACTGAACTAATTAAATATTTACAGTATTATTGTTTTTGTTTTTACAAATATTCTTCCTTAGCTATAAAAGGTGAGACATTGTTCTCTCTTCTTCCTGTTACAATTTATTTCTATATTAGAAAAATGGGATGAATACACAGAAGCTATATAGTGAAGATATATGATATCGCTTCCTGATCCCCCCTCATATTTTTTTTGCAACAGTTGCTTTTGCGGGAGACCAGTGTGAGGATAAATCCAATGTCAGAACTAATCCTGTCCTGTAGGAAGGTATATGTATCCTACTACTGCACTCCCCCCACCATCCCACCCCTATGTGCACTTTTCTGGCAGACGCCCTTGAGCATTTGAGAGACGGATGTGAGAGAATTTTCAGTCTATTGGAAAACAACCCAACTAAACATAACAGATTACATCAGCTCAGGCTTTTCAATTCCTGGATGGCAGTAGCAACGCTAATCCAACCTTCATCCTGGATTTCACAAAGTAAAACAAGGGAGGCTGGCAAGAGGACAGATTGAGGAAATTGACGACTGCAGGCCTTGTGGGCAATAGGCTGTATAAAGCTCAAAAGGCTGTATGCTGAACTCCAGCTACTACTTTGGGTTCTTCACTGCTGCATCCTAGAGAAGAAGACCCCAGGACTTAGTTTTTTTAAACCTGTTCTTTGGAGTGAATAGTGCCTTTGTCACCTAAAGAGATGAATGGGTTTCTAATCTTCACTTTATTTCTGGTCCCCATGCATGTTGGAGCTACCTGGAGTGCAAAATATGCAGTAGATTGCCCTGAATCTTGTAACAGCAATGAATGTAAAAACCCTGTGCACTGCAAGCGGATGGTGCTGGATGACTGTGGCTGCTGCAGGGTCTGTGCTGCAGCTTTGGGGGAGACTTGCTACCGGACCGTTGCAGGGATGGATGGTGTCAAATGTGGACCTGGACTGAAGTGTCAGTTTTTTTCCGAAGAGGATGATTTTGGTGATGAGTTTGGTATCTGCAAAGGTAAAAAATGGTCCCTGGATGGGATGCCTGTCACGACAATAATGATGGTGGTGGTGATAATGTATCTCTAGCAATTGGAGATGGGTCCTGAAAATGTGTGTATATGTGCCTTTAAGTTGCCAGTTAATTTATGATGATTTTATTAATTTTGGAGTGTTTCTTACATAAGGACTACACAGAGGTAGCTTTACTGATTCTTTTCTAGCTCCGGCACTTGGTATTCATTGGCAGTCTCCCATCAAAATAAAGTTGACCCTGCCTAGCATCCAAGATCATACTGAATCTGGTACCTTTATGGAATAATTTCATTTAAAGGTAGCACTCATTCTATGATTTTGGGGATAGCAAAATTTCTCTGAAATGGGAAAAAACAATATGATTATTTATGTCAACATGCAGAATTCCTTGAGTTTTACTATTTATAAGGTAGGTCATTTGTAACTTATGTTGGCTGCCAATTTGAACAGCTCTCAAAGGGAATTCAATTATGGATATCATGAGCTCAAGGATATCATGAGATATCATTGGAAAAGATTAGAGTGCTTTATATAGTGCACAATACTACAGGTGGATTGACTCATAGAAAGAAGCCATATCCTGGAGTTTGTAACACATGAGCAGGATAGCTCTTGGAGTTCTCTCCTTCATAACTTCTCCATAAGTTAAAGCTGACAAATTTATGGTGGCAAGGGTTATCAATGTCTGTAAGTCAAGATAGCTCTATATTACATCCAGTTTTGGAGGCAGTGTGCTTCTTTCTATTGATTAATCTGATGTATAGAGCAGATTATGGGTAGGAAGACACACTTGCATTCATGTTTTGGTGGTGAATTTTCCAAAAGCAACTGGTTACCAATGAATAACTACAAAAGTTTTGATTTTGTATTGCTTTTCTTGTGCTTTATAAATGTTTGATGAGGCTTAGAGAGTGTCAGTATTCATTGGAAGCATGTGGCTAAGGATTTCAACTATCAGCACTTTACTTACTGCAGCATCATCTACACCAGGGACCACTTTGACCAGGGACCACTCTCCATCCAGTAGTCACCATCTGCTTGCCCACAGAAAATCATATTTAATAAGTCTTGGCACTATAAGAGGGGTTTGCAAGACCAGTCACTCTCATTGCAACGGTGTAGTAACAGTGAGGCTGTGGACCATATTTTAGTTCTTGCGGACCACTGGTGGTCCATGGACCACAGATTGGGAACCAGTGATCCACAGAGAAAGAGACACTTTGAGTTGAAAAACTGAATAACTATTGAGTTGGAGTCTATGAAGAAAAATCTCAGAAGCACAGACCTAGGCTAAAATTTCAGACCAGGAGTAAATATTATGATAGGCACCTCCTTCTCCATAGTTCACAACTGAAACTATGGACAAAAGACCTGTGTAAATAAAACAATTTCATCTATCAGTATATATGTACTAGTGTTTTTGTCAGCAATGTAGCTGCAGTAGTTTCTCTCATATTCATCATGATGTTATTATGATTACCCTTTGTTTTCTCCATTTGGGACTCAAGGCAACAGTTAAAACAGAGTTAAAAATGAATGCCACATTTCTTCAATTGTAAGATATCATTGATTGTAAGATGCACCCTAATTTCAGTACCACTACCACTAAAGATACATAAGATACACCTGCGATTCTTAGATGCACCTCAGTTTTAGATATGTTTATATAGGGGAAAAATGCATCTTAGAGCTGCAGAAATACAGCAGTTTTCAAAAGTTAAATAGTTATTAAAGCATCATAAAATTTGAAACCAGTTAATGACATAAAGAGTTAATGTCATAATAAAATGACATAAAAAAAAGGTTCTCAAAGACCTCCCAGTATTATTTCTTTATTTACTCTATTTGTATCCCACCTTTCTCTACTTCAAAGAGGACTCAAGGTGGCTTTACATATGGCAACTATTGAATGCCTTTGGACAACAAACATTTTGAATACACTTAGGTTAAAATTAGAAGTAAAATTAAATGTACATCAAAATATATAAATCACTGCATTCACTATTCAAATCACACCATTGCAGTATTATGGTAATAGTAGGAAGCCTGGGAACAGCCACTAAGAAAACCGTGTTCCCACCAGATGTATCTCTGGAGTAGTGGGACAGAGAGCAGAGCCTTCCTAGAAAATCCAAAAATGTGGGATCTGTTTCATACAGGAGATTATGGTCCTTCAGATAACCTGGACATGAACTGAATATGGCTTTATAGGTCACTGGAAAATACAATTAACATGTTATGGAGATGTTGACAGGTGATAGATGGTAGAATTCTAGATTGTGCCAATACAGGTTGAAGACGTTTTTAAAAAAAGTTGTCACATTCACTTAATTCCCTTGCATATAAATATGGTAAAGTAACTTGTCAAATAAAAGATTTGTTCAGATTTTCTGTGTGATGCATTACTTTGACACATGTAGGAAAAAACATATATTTCAAAATGACTAATACACAAAACATATTTAGTGAATTACATACAGTTGGGTTTCCATATATAGGGATTCTGTATCCACTGCTTGAAAACATCCACTCCCCTCCCCTTAAAAAATCCAAAAGGTAGTATTTTTGAGCCATAGTTAGTTCAATCAGTGGATATAGAACCTGTGACAGGAAGCTGTACTGCAACTAGGATTACACAAAAATGTTGCCATGAGTGTAATCATAGCGCCATAATTGTGTAGTATGAAAGTGTATCTTTTGTACAATTTATATTAAGAGATAGTTGTTGCTTGGATAGTAAATGTTTTTGGAAGAGTTGCTTCTATAACTGAATCAAATATTGTGATTGGTATAAATAGGTTTAATGTAGGGTTTGTATTTATATTGAAATAACACTGCTAATGTTTTAATATGGTTTGTTTTATTATTAGCTGATAAATCCATGCTGAGAACTTTTTCCCTGAATTTTAAATGAGCTATCTATGGTATTGAATTTACTTTAAGTGTAGGGCTCAGTATTTTGAGTGGCTCCTTCAAAGTCTGGACTGAAAGGCAAAGCAAATTCACCAACCCACTGATATCAGAGCCACAGAGCACCACTGTTCATTAGAGCAGCTGTACACACTTCAGTGATATTTGTGGAACAGCAGTTTACAAGTATTTATAATAAATTAATATAAGTGGATGAACATGTAAATTTGCCTTAAAGTCTCAAAATGTGCAAAATTGGACAATGTGCAGAGGTTGCAACTAAAGCAGGAATGGGCCAATTTTCAAGCAACATTTTGTCCTCAAAACAAGTTAAAATGTCCCAGAAGTATAACAGTTTGTTTCTCCTAAGTCTCCAGAGTGCTACAACCGAAAAAGAAGCTCCCAACCCAATAGCAAAGTCCCCCAGCCCTGCCTCCTGTGCCACTGCCCACTGTTGTGGTTCCCAACCTTTTTTTAACTAGGGACAACTTGACCAGGGACCACTTTGGCAAGGGACCACTTGACCAGGGACCACTTTGATCAGCGAATACTTTGACCAGGGACCACTTTCCAACATTAGTACCAAAAGGGTCATGAATCAATTTTTGGTCAACTTTAGATTTGGTTTGGTTATTTGGGATGTTGATTCAGAAAAATGCATTGGATAGACCACATCAGCTCTAGTTTCTAATACAGAACATATGCCACCCAGTAGTCATTATCTGTTCATCCACATAAAACCATATTTAATAAGCCTCAGTGCTATAAGAGGGTTTTGCGAGACCCGTCGCTCTTGTTGCAGTGGTGTAAGAACAGTGAGGCCATATTTTAGTTCTTGCAGACCACTGGTGGTCCACAGACCACAGGTTGGGAACTACTGCTTTAAATGATAAAGAGGGATGAGCTAGTGAAAGTATCTCTAATATTATACTTCTAACAGATGTGATTACATCTGTGATGACATTTCCCAAGTAGATGTTTGGGCAGAGTTAACATCTGTGTTTGTGGCAGAATTGGAATAGATCCATAACTCCAGTCCATTAACAGTGGGTTGAAGAGAAGCAATGGTTTTCTAGTGAACCACACATATTATAACACTAGTTAATACCCCAACCTCATCAACCTCTGGTTAGTTTATCGCAACTCCTTTCTGGTTCCCAATCAGAATCAGATCACATTCTAGCAATTCCCTTCATCTTCTGTCAACAATGTCCTTTAGCACACTACATATGGTTATCTACTTACCTTAGTTTTAGGCATTATCTTCTCCCCCTGCCTTTGTCCCTCAAAACCATTGTTAAAACTGGTCACCACATCCCTACACTCTCAAGTATTGCATTTCTATTGCTATTCACCTACTCATTCATAGCTATAAAAGTCTGTTCTTAGGCTCTTCAATCCATGGATTTGATAGAGTTAAGTCTATGAAAACTTAACTCTTATCACTAACTGAGAGCCTTCTTTCTCTCAGTTAGTGTCCAATCCCTTAACACACTTGGGATAGTTATGATCTCTCATCATAACCTATTTCACAGGATAGCTGTGAGAATAAAATAAGGACAGTGATCCAACCATGTAGCCCATTGACCTAAACTTCATGAAGACTGTAATGTATAAAAAAGTGTATTGACCATACAGATTTCCTTTTGATATATTCAGCATAGTTTGAGACAACACAACATTATAATAAAACCCTATACTGTAATTTATGGTAGGAAAACTGCCCTATGTTTGCTTATTGACATTCCAGTAGCTATTCATGTAATAGCTTCAGCCTTCTTAAATTCTGCAACAATTCTGTTGATATTATCTTTTAAAGTTCCTAAAAGATTTCTACAAATAAAAGTACATACACTGGAAACTCTTATAAAAGCTGCTGAGATGACCTAAGCAGAGAGGGAAAACAGAGCTAGAAGACTGGTTGGTTGGTTAATCAGCCACCAGTCTTAGGCATAGGAAAAAGCAATTTTGCTTCCTGAATGCCACAGTTCCTCCAATAATAAAAAGAATAACATCATTTAATAATGTTCTGCCTCTGATCACAACCAAAATGAACTGTTTGGAGCAGTTGTCTTATTTAGGCTAATGATAGAGCTGGCTGTGCTGACCCTGAGGCTCCTTTGCCTAATGCTAGGAGCAGTCTAATACAAGACTGTAAGTCACATTATATGTAGGTGCTCCTATGTTTGATCAGCATCACAGAACAGAGTAAAAAATTACTATTGATTTTTTTTTCAAACAATTGTGTAAATTTACTGTAAATCTCTTTGTTAGCAACCGTAGAAAATACACAAGCACAGTTTTCAACATTTTTGTTAGGAAGACCTTAAATATTGATGCAATTCTAAAAGTGAATCTCACTGTTAATCTTAACTGAAAAAAAACATTTAATTTACTTATATGGTGACACTCCCTTCACCAATTGATTCAATGGCTTTAATTGGGTCTAACTGAGAAGTTTCAGGCTTTTATTAACTGATCTTAAAATAAGCCCAATGGACTTACTTCTGAGTAGACAATTGCTCTGTAATTTTTTTTAAAAAGAATTAAACAGTGCAATCTTGTGCAATTGACCTGGAAAAAAGTTCCACATTGAATTTACTCCCTAAGTGCCTTAGAACAGAATGACAGCCTAAGTTAAGTAGATTGAAGTAGAATGATAACCACGAAGTTCAAGTGTTGGGACCAGTATTTATGAAACCTATTGTATTTCATTTCTTGTCTTGCAGAGTGTCCTTATGGTACTTATGGACTGGAATGCCGAAGAACATGCAACTGTCCATCTGGCATATGTGACAGAGTGACTGGGAAGTGTTTAAAGTTTTCATTTTTCCAGCTGGCTGTCTCGAAACCTCCCAACCGACGGAAATTAATTTCACATGCAGGTAAATTTGAGAGTGCTAATTTCTTGGAGCCACAATGCATTTGGCCATTCTTTTGCATGACTTGTATTTAGGTTGTGCATAATAGCACTACCATCAGAAGTATCCCACTTCCTGAGGCAAAGGATAAAATGATGTCGTCATCTAAAATCTCATTGACTGACAACACAAAAACCAATGCAAAAACACTGGTGATGAGCACTTAAGAGGGCAGACTAGTTTGCGGGGCTAGAAGAGACCACATGGCACAAATAGCTTTTCCTTCCCATAGATGAAAATAGCCAGAGAGCTCAGGAGGATGGATCAGTTACCATTTAACATCCCACTATGTTTACAGATATTTCTGCCTTACAATTACATGTATTGATTCTGACCTGATAACACAGTGCTATGATCTAGAGTGGAGCGTGGAAAATTATTTGTCACTTATGATTTTGATCTTGTGCTTGCTAGAGTAATTCCTCCTCCTCCCAATCAAAGAATTGTATTTACATGACAAAGAAGTAGGTAAGGGGAAACTACAGTCCATGGCTTTATATGACCCTTAGGAGGTGATTTGTGATCATCCAGATCCTGCCAATTCCCCCCCCCCCCTTTGGTGAATATCACTCTAAATTTGAATATTGCAACTAACGATACTAAAAGAATATTTTATAAGCGAACAGTGTTTCCCAGCTCTTAGGAAATGGTGATGCGTAGTTGGCTTTGCTGCCCTTCTCGGCAAAAAGAGATGATAACGGTAGTTAGCAGTAGGATCAACACTTTTCAGACTTCTCTTGTATTTTCAAAATTTGTTAGTTCATCTGTAGTGGGAGATATAATTGGGTTCAATTCTACATAATTAAAAGAGAAATGAATGCATGGAAAAATTATCATTAGTTATAAGCTATCGTGTTTCATCACATAATAGTTGCACTTACTCCCTCTTCTTCTTGGAAAAAAAGGGGATGCACCATGTGGCATGCCTGGAAGGGGGTGGGTGAGTGGATGGATGGATGGGTGAATAGGTGAGTGGAAGGGAATGCTAGGCTGTTTACAACAGGGAGGTGGTCTAATCATGGGTATGACTATTATGTGAGGAATTGTTAAATTCTGAAAATAGGAATCTGAAAAGGAAACATGACTATTATGCAATGAAAACAGTAGTTATATCTGGGGCAAGATCCATTCTCCTGATTGCTTCCAATGACATTTGGAGATGTGGAATCTTTAATGATTTGGTCAATCTCTTGTTCAATTCAACCTTTGACCCAGCATTCAATTTAGTGCAATTGCTTAGGAATACATAATTATGAGCAGTAAGAGACCTTGTGAAACTGCCACCTATTTATTTCCTTCCCAGCTTGTCACTTATGCTCTGATTAGGAAAGGCAAGCTGGTTAGATCTATAATAGGTCAGTATAAATGGACTTCCAATATCAAGTAATGTTCAGGTGCTGTTGAAAATAGCTCACATCCAGTAAAGAGTCAGGAGAAGATGAGAGGCAGGCATATCAGCATGGATGACGACCAATGGAAACTGGTGGCTTGACTGTCAGTGGGGTATAATTCCACTCTGTTTTTAAAATCTTTAATTTAAAGAGTTGTCCAAAGTGACAAACATATTTTCAGTATTGAGTTTGACATCTTGGATATTGGCTTTAAAATTTGGATTAAAATCCAGAGTGGAATCACCTCCACCGTTGACAATAGAGCCATCAGTCTCCACTGATCATAGGCATGATACTTAAAGATGATATACACACAGATACACATATATAGGGCAATGTTTTTAAAAACAAATCCTCTTTTCTCTCTCTCTCTCTGTTTTGATTTGCAGAAAATGACATGGGATCCGGTGATGATAATTCTGTAAAAGAAGATTTTGTCAATGAAAAAGCCATTCACTCTCCAATAATGAAATGGCTAAACCCTCGCTGATATTAACCTATATGGGACTTTTAAACCAATGCTTTCTTCAGATTTATAATTAATATTCAACAACCCACTTTAAAGACCATAGATCTCCAGCAAAGGAACTGGTAACGTGTAATAAAATCCATTCTGTATATCATCAGGAAAAAGAAACATGCATTTTCTGTATAAGACTATGTACAGTGTACAGTACATGATTTTTAGAACATGTTTTGGTAATTGTTTAGCTAATGCACGATGGTAGCAAATGCTTTTTGAATTGTTGAATGTAAAATTACTATTGATTTTTAAAAAATACAAAAATTTAAAAACAGTAGCCATCTCAAGTCTGAAAGCTCTGCATAAAATATCCAGTAATCTAAAAATAAGGAATATATGGTAATAAAAGTTAGGAAATGCAGTTTGTAACCAATATTCTTGACTGAATTCAGCAACTTGCTTAAAATCAGCAGTGGGAATCATGCAGACTTCCAGATATTGTTGATTGCAAGTCCCAGCAGACATAACCAGCAAAGCCAATTGTGAAGAATGCGGGGAGCTTCCATCCTACAGCATTTGATTCCCATTCCCTATTTATAACATTGGATATAACAGAAGGCATTAAGATGAGTTTTAATTTTGAAAATGAAGACTGTCTTCACTGAACAGTAAACTCCACAGACTCAGTGGGACTTATATTTGTGTACAGAATCAAACAACATGGCACAATCCAATACATCACTGCTACTAGATTCAGTGGGCCAAATTATTGAGTGTTCCCTTAAAACATTTTAAAATGTGTCACTCTGTGTCAGCTTATGTCCTAAAGCAACTATCCCGTCCAAAGCTAGAGTGCTTCAATCTCAACATTGGGATTTAGATGGCTCATGTGCAACCTCAGACTTAAAGCTAATCTTTAAGAAGAAAGGATGAAGTGCCTCCTTTATTTTCAAAATACCATCAACTAGCTATCTGGAGTTTATAATATGCATCACCAATTTAGCAAACACGGGTAGCAGCAGCTGTGTTTTGGAAAGAGTCATCACAGTGGATCTTGACTGTGTCTAAATACTACAGCCAGTATTAATTGTGAATAATGTCAGAGATACGGAACTAAAAGAGCTTCACCAGGACTGTTGGGGAATGGAAGAGAAGAGGAAACCTTGCTATTATCAACAGAAAGATGAGAGGGATGCAAACATTGTCAGTTTCCAGGACCCCATGATAGGATTGCATTATGGTCACTGCAAGTTAAAAAAGTCACTGCAAGTCAAGTCCACCTCTGGGGGGTGGTGTTCATCTCCATTTCTAAGCTGAAGAGCTGGTGTTGTCCGTAGACATCTCCAAGGTCATGTGGTCAGCACTGTTGGAACACTGTTACTTTCCTGCAGAAGCAGTACCTATTGATCTACTCAGATTTGTATGTTTTCAAGCTGTTAGGTTGGCAGAAGCTGGGCCTAACAGTGGGAGCTCACCCTGCTCCCTGAATTCAAATCTGCGAACTTTCAGTCGGCAACTTCAGCAGCTCAGTGGTTTAACCTGCTGCACCTTCAACAAGATACATGTGTTGTATTTTATGACATAATAAAAATAGAATTATAGGATTGGAAGAGCCATCTAGTCCAGCCTCCTAAGAACCAAAAATGGCAGACTTTGTGAAACGATGAGTTAGCTAACACACACACACACACACACACACACACATACACACACACACACATCTAGTGGGCAATTTATATCTCTTTTTATATTTAAAGTGAGACCCTCCACCATTTTGCTTTATATGTCAATAAGGCAAAAGTTTGAAAAAGAAAAATGTGTCTGCAACTTTTGTGTCTATTTTTAATCCAAGACAACATGCTACATGAGGATCCAAGCTGTTAAATATTTCGCACAATCATGACAATATACTAAATGGTTACATCCAATGATAACCTGTTCTCATTTATTTCAGTGGTAGAGTTGGGCTACAATCATATACATGCTTACCTGGTAGTGAGTGACATTAACATGTTCCCTATGTGTTTGAGAGTATCAAGATGTTAAAGATTCAGAATATTTGGAAAGGAAATGAGCCATAAAGAGCAGAGGGAGCAGTCTTAAATTACAACCTTCCCATTTGTTTGGTTTAAGCATGTATTGTAAAAGAGGTTGCTCTTAACTTCTGTGCAATATTTTCACTGTCCTGGGATAGCAAATCATATATCTTAATTTCCCCCTTTTGAAATTAATGAGATTTTGAAAGTTTCAGAATGTAATCTAAATTTAAACGGTGTTCTTTACAGATAAGTGTATAAGTATAAGCACAAAAATTAGGAATGGCTCTGTCTTCCATAATGTATTTATCTGGGGGAAATCAATTCTTCTCCTTGGCAGCAGCAAGGCTCGCTTGAATATCTTAACTGAGTTAGGAATCTGAAGTGTTCACAATGAGAGTTGCCAGCACAATCAACATTACAGGCGTGCAAACATTCTCCCTGTTAAGTAAATGGATCATTTGAAAACAAGTAAGATTTGATAATCCTCCAGGAAATTTTGAACTGAAATAAAGGGAGCAAGCTGTTCATGTGGTTTGGCAGGCAGAATGAAAGAGTTTTTTGAAATAGTGCTGTGAATATTTACATGAATTGAACTCTTTTATTCCGGTCCTTTGCCAAATATTTATGACCATGCTAGATCGTTGAATGTGCATATAATAAACTATCTATTATTAGAAGATATTGTTGTTATTATTGTTGTTGTTATAATTATCATTGCACAATAAAATGGAGAAAACATATTGCATCTACTTTCCAGTTTTTGTTCAGATAGCCAGATTTAATACAGCATTAATGCACCTCGCTTATGCTTCTATAAAAGGTAAAGGTTACCCCTGACATTATGTCTAGTCTTGTCTGACTCTGGGGGTTGGTGCTCATCTCCAATTCTAAGCCGATGAGCCAACATTGTCCGTAGACACCTCCAAGGTCATGTGGCAAGCATGACTGCATGGAGCGCTGTTACCTTCCCGCTGGAGCAGTACCTATTGATCTGCTCACATTTGCATGTTTTCGAACTCCTAGGTTGGCAGAAGCTGGAGCTAACAGTGGGAGCTCACCCCACTCCCTGGATTTGAACCAGAAACCTTTTGGTCAGCAAGTTCAGCAGCTCAATGGTTTCACCCACTGCACCACTAGGGGCTTCTATATTCTCATTTTTAGGCTAAAAGTAGACCGTAGACTATAGAAGCAAAATATAGGGTGAGCTGAAAACACAGCAACTATAGGAATGTGTTTCAATATCTTATTAGTTGTAATGACAGGAATTTAGGGACTGAAGGAAATTTTCATCTGTGGTGCAGAATTCCTATTTGGAAGCATAAGGATTTTATGTGCCCATTCTTTTAGTTATACACCCACATCAGTATGACACAGAGCATCTGCTTGTACAGTGTTCAGAACTCTGTATCATAACATGCAAAATGTGTCCCTTATAGAACTCAGGTGTGTTGCATTAAAAATGCTTCAAAAAATGCTGCCTAGCAGATGCTTTGAGGGAGCATGTTAGTCGGCCCTGGAGGATGAGGAAGAAATGCCAGCAAGAGCAACAGCAGCGGTAGTCACTCAGGGGTTGGTGCTGAGCTGAAGACCATGACCCTGCCATCCATCTCCTTGTCATCCTCAGTTTTCTGCCTCACCCCTACTCTGCCCCATGGCAGTGGACCAAACAGTGGCCCCAGCAATTACAGGGGAGGGGGAAGAGGAAAAAGAGGAATTGGAGGCCGAGGAGAGCAAGGAGGAATAAGCAGAGGCTCTCAAAGGGCATCAAGTCCAACCAGCCAGACGTAGGGACACAATTAAAGCCTCAGTTCAAAAACCTCCAGAGGAGACTCCACTAGACATCCAAGAAGTCTATACTTCACTAGAGTTAGAAGAGACTCCCAAAGGGCATCTAGGACAACCCCCTTCAACCAGGCAGGAACACACAACCAAAGCACCTCAGGAAGGCCATCCAGCCTCCATTTAAAGACCTCCAGAGGTTTAATCACTACAGAAGATGAATGCTGGTGCTGTTCAAATGTAGGTACTGCTACAACTTTTATAATTTGTATGATTTGTTGGTTGGGTTTCAGTAATAATTACCAGTAAATGGATAAATTTCTAATTAAGAAAAGAAAATCTGTTGACAATGATATTTGTGATGAACCACATGGAGTGCCTATTGAGGAAACTACGCAAGAATCAACTGTAGTACATAAAAAGTGTAAAGGAAAAATGTCCAATCCTCATTTATACAGTATAGATTATATGAAACATATTTATCTAATCTATCTATCAAAAGTGATCACTCATGGCTGAGTATGATTGTCTTCCAAGGTAGAGTCTTGACAGTGGGTCCATAAATGACTTAGGTACCTATTCTGGATCTGTATGGTCTTTCGCAACAAGGACATATTTCCAGATGGAAGGCAGTCACAACAAGGGTTTGCTTGATATACCTTCCTATTGACATGTTTCTCTCTTTCTCCCTTTGTTATGAAATCAGCTATCAGAGACCAGGCAGCAGTGTAGGTCTGTTGCTTGGCATGAAAACCAGGAAAAACATGACTAAGTTTGAAGGCAATAACAGAAGTTTATTCACCTGGCCAGATGGATGGTAGAACAGTGTAATCGCCAAAAGAACTGACATAACTCATACATGGACTTTAGTGAGTCCTGGGGGTTGCTGGCAATCTGTCTCTCAGCAAAGAGTCCACTGGAAGAATCTGTGTTGTTTCCCAAAACAGCCACATAGTCCAAAGTCACATGAGCACTACATAATATAAGTTGTGATATTTGATATGAAAGTGGATGAGGTCTGTATCCTAACTATAATGGTTAAACTAATTTTTCATTACTTTTTGTTAAGTAATTAATTATGCCAATGGGGAAACTTTAGGGATGCCTTTCTCCCTCATTGTTAGAGATATTGGCATGAATCGTGCTATGATGATAGAACACATTTACCACGGTTAGGCTATCAAGTTTCAGAATGTTTCACTTATCCATGGAGTTTTGGGGAATTTTCATTTTTTTTACAAACAACATCTTTCAAAACTACAACAGCTATCTCCTTCAATTTTCTGTACAATCAGCCCCCCCCCCCCCCCCGCCCCAAGTTTCAGAAATA